CTCAAAAATAGAGACAGTACCAATAGACTTCAATATGGATTTTGACGGAGCCTGTAACGTCCTTGGAGTGTATGCAACAATATGCTCGTCATCTAAAAATAAATGTTATATGGCTTTTTTGTTTTTGCATGGGCATAATAAAGTTCTGCTCTGAGCTAACGAAAGAATGGTTCGTGGCTACGCTGTTCGAAATAATACTTATTTTTAGATGATAAGCATATGCTCGTTTGCAGAAAATATGCAACATATTCCTCTAAATATTTTAGAAAATCTTCTTTATTTCTGTATGTCTTGAATGGGAATACCTAAGTTGTGCTCTGAGGGAAGAACCTGGTTCGTGGCTACACGGCACAAAATAATAATAATCATTGCCTGCATTAAGATGTGATGGATAAATATGTGAGGTACGGCCACCTAAAAATAACTTCTGGTCTGATGACGTCACCATTTGGAAGCTTTGCATATTAATTTTGCTACTCTCCAATGAATGTTCATCACTACTAAAGAGAGCGGCACTATAGGGTGCCCCTTCGAGTAGTGTCATCATGATCTTTTGTTTTAACCGCATTGAACATTTGAATGATTTAGTTTTGATTATAATTTTCTAATAATAAAAGTTGTATTCATTGACCACTGCACTTTCAGTAACATGGAAGCAAAGATTGAGAAGTATTGAGCCCAAAAACTAAAGAAAAGTTTGCAAAAGGCAATATCTAACACTTTACAAGAAGAATAGGCTACTCAAATCAGTTCAAAATTTACAAATGAAAGTAGAGCGTGAATTTTAAACCTTAAATCGCTTGTAATTTCTGTATCGGATCAAAAAATGTGAACAAACTTTCTCACCGTTTTTGTACCTTAGTTATTACAACAATAGTTTGTTTTTACTCAACCCACTTATTATTGGTATAAGATGACGTCATAATGACGTGACACTACATCTTGCTTTCAAGGTTAATGTAAACACCAATTTTCAGCTTTAGGCGTCGATCCGTTAAAAAGGAAAGCTGCTGAAAAGTATTGGCCAGAAAAAAACCAGAAAGGAGAAGCAGCACTAAACAAAAATGTGATGGGGAATCAGCCCCATCTCCTTAAAAGTCAAACATTAATTTCAAAACGGTGATCGATTGATGATGGATGACCCCATGACACCGTGAACAACGAATGGATACCTGTTGACGTCATGATGACGTCAGGAAAAGTATCACGTCTTTGGATGGACGTTCAAGTTCATACCAGAATTGATCGTCATCCCGTGAACCGTTTTGAAAGAGGTTTTTCGCCGAAATGAAAAACAAATTTGTCCAAGGCTCACAGAAAAAGAAGAGGGAAATCAATTTAGTTCAAACAGTTATAAATGAAAGTATTGTATTAATTTGAAATTTAAATTCGCTTGTAATTTGATATACGGTGACGTCATGATGAAGTCACAACATGTCCACATTTTTGGACAGTTATTTCTACAAGGTTTCGTGTTCATTGTTTGCCCCGTTTTGAAGAATTCCGTTTGTATCATGTTGAGGCCCCCTTCGTTCGTTGGCTCTTGCCATTGACTACAACTATAATTTACGTTCTGGACATAAAATCAGCAAGGCATCACTAGATTTTTGAAGCGTCGTTCTGGTGCTACACATAAAGCTTATGGCTGCTCAAAAATAGAGACAGTGTCAGTAGAATTCAATATGGAGTTTGACGGAGCCTGTAATGTCCTTGGAGTATACGCAAACGTATGCTCATCGTCTAAAAACAAATGTTTTATTGATTTTTTGTTTTTGCATGGGCATAATAAAGTTCTGCTCTGAGCTAACGAAAGAATGGTTCGTGGCTACACTGTACGAAATAAATGCATTTAGATGATAAGCATATGTGTTGCATCTCCAAAAATATCTTTATTAATTTTTCTGCAAAGGCAACATATGTTTTGTTTCTGTCTGTCTTTGTAAGGGTCTACACAAATTCTGTTGTTTTCCGAAGAAACTGTTGCGAAACAGGAGTTGAAGTGAGAGTGTCACTTAACAAGATGCAATCACATTTTCTCTCGAATTTGAAGTTTATACTGTATTTAAAAAAAAAACTCATAAGATGGCTATACTGAGTGCATTGTTGCCGGGGCGCGTAATTTATATTCCCAGGACGGTTGGGCCAATTAGTCATGAATAATTCAGTAATTTCGATCGGGCCAGTATGTTTATTCATGAGAACAGATCAATGGTATCAAGAGCAATGTTGTTATTTAGTCAACCAGTTACATTCAATTCAAGTACGGTTGTGGTCAAGTTAAACATAGTGGATAGCGAGATGAGCTACGGATGCAAAGATCCCTGGTTCGAACCACGTCGTCGCTGCTCCTTTCATCGAATGTTTCCTTCTCTCAATTTATCGTTGAAATATATATATAATTATAGGAAAAAACGAGAACGAGAATAAGTGTCTTGCAACGATACAAAGGAAAAACTGAATAATCCATGACTTGGCACCAACCCTTCTTGGAAAAAAATCAATAAACCGTGACCGCGGCGTTATTTGACCCCGAGGTGGCGCTGTTGAATGAAAAAAAGACACTTGTGAAACACGGTGGCGCTGGGTAGAAAACACTGGAAGCTGGTTAATGTAGATGGGTGCAACCTGCAATAAAAATCTCATAGACACTAGTGCTAAATGTGCATACTTCAAAATTCTTGTAAAAATACTCAGCACTCTCACAGCTATTCAAGCTGTACAGAAAAATGATGATCAACATGCCATCTTTTACTTTCTTTTCATTTTTTGGTGGGTTGACCATTGACTTTTCGAGATATTCTCACCCAAAGAAGACGACCCCTATTTTCCCCAAAGCGGAAAAGTAGCCATCTTCAAAAACGATCCCTCCAAAACATGGCAACTTTCGAGCCCAATCACATCCAAAATGCTCAGAATTGGAAGCCCCAAGTCCAGGCCAGAGGTTCATTACCATATCTCTTCAATTCCCCAATTTGATGGCTCTCAAAACTCTCTAAAATATAGAATATTTTGAGGGTATAACTTTTATTCATGAGCTCGGCGGACGGATTTTTGGCCTATTTACAGGCATGCACCCAGATGGTTGCAGACCAGAAAATAAACTGCCATAGGCCTCGGTGATAAAATACCCTCACTTTTCAATCAGGAAATAAAAAACTCTGAAAGTGATTGAGACACTTATAAAAATAGAGCTTATTTCAGTTTTAAGGGTGTTTTGGGGGAGAACTCCACCCAAAGAGGATCACCCCTAAAAGAGTAGTCCTGAAGCCCATCGCAATTTTGAAAAATAATGTTCCTACGTTCCATGGCAAAACGAAGCAAATTTTTTTAGGGCCTAATTTCATCCAAATTTCCCATTCACTGTTGCAGTCCTGATTATTCTTATATCAGGTTAACATACAGCTACAAGCAAGGCTCTTCAGAACAATATACTCTTTTTTTTCTTTTGTCTTTCTGCAGGAAGTAGACTTTTCTTAACCCCTGGGTATTACCCGGACTTGGCGTCAGCCCGGACACGCTGCGATGGATGTGGCATGAAGCTCTGCTCACTCGAGCAGCTGGAGACGGCCTATAACTTATATATGGAGGAAAACGAATGGGGCTGGGTGGACCACGAGGAACACGCGCACGCCTTGCCCTGTGCGAGGTGGGGAGGTGTTTCTATACCAAATTCATGTCGGAGAAGCAAGTTGGTTGGATTCCGTATTCTGACGACGCTAAACTTGAGAGGGCATATTGCTGTAATAAGTCCCTTTGAGCGAAACCATAGTCAAAATAAAAAAGGAAGACAAATCTTCACACTAATGTTGCACTGATAAAATTCTGCTAACAAAATTTTGTTCATTGCCTCTCGAAAACATTATTTTACCTCGCGCGCTCATGCATCATCTAAACACCATTGTTACTTTACACTGGGATACTAATATAATTTGTTAGTAAATAGGTATTACACATTTGTTGGATTTGAGACGTTAATTTTCTGGTCATTCTGACAAGTTAATCTCCAGTTCCTGATTTAAATGTTTAGCGCCGAAATCAAAATTAACAAAGGCTACACAGTTCGATTAAATTTGTTAAACCGCTTTTAGCAACTGTCCAAATTATTTCTTCCTTAAAAATAAATGAGGTTCCTACGGCACCAGGCAATTTCTCATTTTGATATTCTCGTTTTCATTACCTTTTTTATAACAATTTTACTTTTGTAATTTTAATAATTAACACCACGTAGCTTACATTTGAATCTGTTAGAAATGAAATGAGAAGCCAAATTGAAACTAAAAAAAGTAAAATTGTACAGAAAACACTACGATTCCCTCTATTATTTGTATGAGTTACTTTGTGTGTTGTTAAGCAAAACTAACGCTACTCCCTTCTCCAACTTCTAAGTGGATGTTCGGGGGGGGGGGGCAAAGCCGTCATGTAGACAGAGTCCTATTATTTCTGAGGAATGTCTGTTTGAAAAGCTGCCCTTGTGATCTTCAGCATTCCCTAACCACGTCCTGATTCAGAATTAGCATGAGATACTCTGAACATGCCTGGCGTTGATCGAGGACACGCCACAACAATAATACTTATAGACCTTTCTGCGCTTGGTTGGCAAACTGCATTTTTGCCAACCACGGCCTGCAAAACTATGGAAGGTCCAACACTGCAAAAATGAAGAAGAGTTATTACAGATCACCAAAATATTATTTGATACTTGAAAATACAACATTTTCACCAAAGCTACAAAATAATTTCTACATATGCCTTTTTACTATGTGTTGAAGGCGTTATGAGGACTTTTTTGGAAAAATATGTTGCCAACCACGGCTTCAATTTATGCACTTACGGCAGCCCATACAAAATGGCGCCAATGTTTACAAACAAAAGAAAGGCCTATTAGGTAAATATAATACACATTTGGCAACGTGGGAAATAGGCCTATTGATCGCTGCTGATTTCCGTCTTTTAGCCACTGCAGGGTAACGTACTCAAGAAGCAAAACCGAACGCAACGGGTAAATCTTTCGATAATTTTATTCATTGCTGAGTTCATGCATTGTATTACTACATCAGATTAAAAGCAGAAATAAAGAAATCTTGACAAATAATACAATTATGTTCAAATTTTGGAATACGGATGTTGTTCATCTATAAGAGTATATTTTCTGGATAGTTTTCATTAGCGGCATTTCGGATATTATTGTGAAACTTATAGTGTTTCTTTTTATTCAATTGAACTCATGTCCTGCTGAGAGTATACACCTAGTTTTCACATCCATTAAAAACGTTTAGTTAAGATTTCTTATTTTGTTCTGTAGCCGAAATGTTGAGGGACATAGCTGAAATTGTTCCATTAATAGATTAACATGCATCCCACCACCAGAAACAAATAAATTCTGTCGGTCAAAGCTTCATATCAGCGTCTGACTCATCGGTATCTGTGAACATAAACATAACAAATCACCCTTTATTAACAAAAAAATTAAGAAAAAAATAAAGCTTTATTTTGATTATCCGATGATTACTATGATATAGAATAGGCGTGGCCAGCGGGGGGTAAGGGGGTATTTAAACCCCCCCCCCCAATATTTTGTAAAGACTGCCCTTTTCTATTCAAATGCCCTTTTTTCACCCGCGCTTACCCCCCCCCCCCCCCAATATTTTGTAAAGAGTGCCCTTTTTTTAACAAGTGCCCTTTTTAAAAGTATGCGGTTGCCTTTTTGGTGCCATCGGCCGTTGCGGTGCCTTTTTTTGTTAAATTCCCGCATGTATCTCCTTTAGAAGCACCATATATTGTCCGTTAGTGTGCATAATCGTCGGTTTTTGAACAGCGCCACCTTCGACAGATGGTACAAGCTTCCCCCCCCCCTCCCCCCCCCCCCCCCCCCCACACACACACTATTTGATTTTACGGAGGCCAAGTGTCTGGGGAAAAAAGTGTCTACATTTCAGCACGGATGTGCAAGTGCCCTTTTCAAAAAAATTACCCCCCCCCAATAAAAATGACCGTGCTACGCCACTGTATAGGGCCTACACAACTTTGCTTGGCCAAAATGCAGGCTTAGTTTTACCTTTTCTTTTCGACTTTAAAATCTTTAAGGATTTTCTATACTCTGTGAAACTGATTCCAAACTGTGGTCGCAGGGGCGGATCCAGGAATTTTCGCTGGGGGGGGGGAGGGGGGGTTTCATCATCAAAACATTCTGAAATGTAGTCAGGTTTTATTCTCCGGACACTTGGCCTCCGGAAATCAATAGGTGGGTGTGCGTGTACAAACACTGCCTTATGGGGTACCGGAACAATGGGAGGTACCCCACAAGGAATGCCCACCGACTTTGGTACCCCACAAGTTTTTCACGAAATAGATATATGGATTTTATTCAAAAACTAGGAATTTCCAAGGTGGGTTGATCCGTCGCAAATGGTAGAGTTTTAGAAAAGGGATATTAAGTCCGAATTTTAGCCCAGGAAATTAATTCTGGTTAAAATAAGAGCATTATGACATTAGTGTGGGACATTGCAAAATTTTAGTACACGAGAACAAAGGAAGTACCCCACTTCTATGCCTGTGAGTTTGTCTTACATACGCAGTGTGGACTTCCGAACAAAAGACGTCCACATAATGTAGGTAGCACCGACGTTGTGTGGACTTACCCCACGTCCACACAGTGTTTCCCCATTTCTGGAAAACAGGTTTAGAGGCATTTTTGGGTTAGGTTTATCTGTAGCAGAATGAAGAGAAACACTAAAGGGAATCATAGAAAAAAATTGGGTTGAAAGAGTTTTCACAGTTTGAGAAAAATGAGTTTTTTCACTGGTTTTTCTTAACTACACGAAAGCAATGGAAAGTCCACACTAGTCATGTGAAACAAGTATGGGTGTATGTGTGGGTGTGTGTGTGTGTGTGGTTGGGGGGGGGGGTAGGGGTAGGTTTAGGGTTAATATACCCCCCTCTGGATCCGCACCTGGGTCGATGAGAGGTATTCTGTGAAAACGATCTTCAAATGCAAATTTGAGAGCATGTTGGCGAGCAAGGTTTTTTTTATTTAGAAAACTTAAGACTTAAAAAAGAGGTTCCGTAATCCATTTGGTTTATGGAGGTCGTCTTAAAGTCAAACTGTTTGGCCAAGGTGAGTCTTAAGCACGCTTAACTACAAGTGACATTCAGTTAGCGAGTCAGTGAGCCAGTTAAGCCCGGCGCACATCTGTCCGTTTTTGCCAGTTCACCGGATCTTCGGGTCATCGTACGGAGGTGTGCGCTAAAAATTTGGACCGATCCGACCCTACATCGGGCGACCGGATGATTTTGTTCGCATCCGATTTCACCGGATCCAATTTCACAGGACGCAATATTTATGTTAACCAATCAGATTTTACGAAGGAAGTCACATGGTTGTCATCATGTGACTGGTCATCATGTGACCGATTTTTGGACGGAATCGGGCATGTGTGCGGGTAACGTTGTGGTCTAACCTCCGGTGAAAAACAATATAGGCCTACCGGTGATGCGGTGATCCGGAATCCGGTAAAATCGGGAAAGTGTGCGCCGGGCTTTATAGTCAATAAGATAAACAGAAAGTAGGCCGAGCTTTCGGGATCAACCAAAATCACGATATTACTATGTGGAAGGCATGCACTTACCGTGTTTTTTTTTTTGGCGGCCATCAACGCACTTTATGCAGACGGCGTGTTTAATCATATTGGCGACCACAGAAGCCAGGATGGTTGCAAACAAGGGGGTAAGGGCAACTATGTGGATTCCACGGATCACACGCTAAAATGGAAAAAAGAGAAATGGAAACAACAGTCATCTCAATAATTAAAGTACGCAGAGTTGTAACGAGTCACTGATTTTTGTGACTCGAGTCGAGTCGAGTCATTTCAAAGAAGTGACTCGAGTCGAGTCGAGTCATTAGGTCAATAAGGTCGAGTCGAGTCGAGTCACAGTGTGTAGTCAAGTCGAGTCGAGTCAACCCAAAAATTAAGCTCGAGTCAATTCGAGGCAAGAAATATTTGAACACTATAATAACAAATAAAGACAAGAGAGAATTTGTATCACTAACAGTCAACAAGAAGTGAAACTTCGGTCTGATAGGCTATCTGGTTTGGCTTTGGGTCCAGAATTGTTTTCCTTTTATGAAAGATCTGACCCAAATCATGAAATCTAGAATGCTTTAAATTTATTTTTGAGCCAACAGCAGACAAAACAATACCAAAACAAAACCCAGCTGAAATAATTCAATAGGTCTCAAGAGAGAGCATGTGCATGTGCACAAAGATTAAGAAATCAATTTCAGGGGGCCTAAATCCTCAAAATAAAAACAAACACTAAATGTGAGTCTTGGATTTGTAAAAATTGTGTTTGATGCTATATACCAGTTTGTTAGGTCTAGGGCCCATAGCCACTCTAAACAAAACTACCCAAAAAAAGCTAATAAATAAAGAAAATCTGGGGCAACTCGGTCAGGGGGCGACATGACACAATCATCTCCAGACATGCTTTTTCTTCATCGTTTTCGTCCGATAAATCCCCATGAATATCCGAATTATTCATTATTCACCTAAACACATCAGCTACAGAAAGCCTACCTTTATACCTGCTACTGAAAACCAGAAGTGGACAAATCCTCAATTTTGAGCCCCCCCCCCAAAAAAAATCAAGGAACATGACGGGGAAAAATTGTTGCAACTTGACGCCACTTTTTTTTTTCATTTCAAATAGTTCGAAGTATTTCAACTAAAGAGCTGCAAGCTGAAAACAGGAACAATTCTGCGATTTTACTGTGATGAGCATCGCTACCTAGTTTTACGAAAAGCATAAATGAACCAAAACCAACAACATACCACCTGGAAAAACCCGCGGTTATTTCACAAAACATTCAAAAAAGGAATAGTATGGCCAGGAACTGCTTAATGAAACAAAGACCAGCGAAAATGGCGGCAACGGTATCTTACCTTGACGGGACTCAAGATCGTCAGTTTTCGCATCAAATTGCCGTGGAGACTCTGAAATAAAATGAAAAGGCTATCTTGTGAATGACGGAGGCAACATGCTACTTTCAATACCGTGATTACAGAAGACCCGATCTAGCTGCATCAATGCCAATTCTATTTTCTTCGGTTTTGTTTTGTTTTTACAAATTACCTTCCATGGCTGCGTCTCCGAAGACGACACCCAGGCACACCAGAAGAACCAAGCAGGTAAAAGCCTTCATCTTGACTCTATTGTCAAAGGAAATAAAAACCAAGACGATTAAGCAGCATGGTTTGGCCACAATATCCACAGATCACAAAAAATACATTAAAGCGCAGGCACTATACAAAAAGAGAAGGCATCGGAAGTACTAAACATTTCGCCCAAACCTTCTCGTTTAAACACGAGTGGTATGAAACCAAGAAGAGCCGGAAGCAAGTCGTGTGTGTATTCAAGTATTGTGAAGAAACGAAGAAATTTGTGAAATTATCAATATTAGTAATGATAACTTTAATGTAAACCTAAGGAGGAAAGGTATGGCACAGTGTTCCATGCTATCAAATCTACCCTACCTGACGGTCTGAACTGCAACAGACGATTGTTTTAAGCAGACAATTTGCTGAAATGTAGATCATCAAACAAACTTGGGTTTCTCACCAGAATGCTACGTTGGGCGATGATAATGCATAATCAATGGTTTGCTTTTTAAAACACATCTTAAGGCCAAAAAAAAAAAATAAGTCGGTCTCTGGTCTGCGCGCGCGTCGATTTTAATCATGCGCGTCAATCTTTTTTCTTTTTTTTCTAAAATGTTCCGCGGTAGCTCCAACGGCGCCCTCAATTGCCGCACCTCCTCATTTTTTTTTACCAAAGAGCACCAAGGAATGGGAAATTGCACCAAGGCAAATGATCGAGAGCACCAAGGCAAATTATGGAGGACACCAATGTACATGAGGACACCAAAAAAGCAACATAGTACCCCACCTTGTCTGTACAATCCAAGCTTGAAGAAGAAAAAAAAAGCCGAAGTCCCCGCGTCAATTCAGGAACTTTGATCTGACCAGAGACCGAATATTTTTTTTTAGCCTAAAGTAAGAGGTGTTTAAAAATCGAATAACACTTACATCACGCTGTTCTTGAGACCACGTCGGTTCGGAAGAGGAAAAATATATGTGGCTTTTCAGTTGTCGACGGTCGGAATATTGGAAAGCGGACGAATCCGCGGCTTTTATAAGTCGAGGCGGCACTGAACAGTGGCGTGACTGGGGGGGGGGGGGGAGCCAAAGTAACGATGGCTCAAATGTTATGATAAAAGTATCATCTACTTGTAAAACTAATAATATGTCCAATTCTGGGCTATCACATAACTGACTTGCATGTCATGTTATCCTTGATAATGAAATATGGAATGAAACTGCAAACTGATAAAAGAAACAATGAATGATATATTGCCCTGGCGTGAGGTATGCATGGGCGTATAGTAACTTTTCACCAAAGTTGCCCACAGTGGCGTATGCAGGATTTTGTCAACGGACTTTAAACTTTTCGTGCCGCAGGGGGGGGGGGGGGGGGAGGGGGGTGTAGGTGGGGGTATTACCATTACCGAAATGTAGACATTTTTTCTCCGAACACTTGCCCTCCCTAAAAAACTCATTATTATGCATAATGCAAATTATATGCCCATTTTCAAGGCGCGTTGTAATGGTTGTATGAGCGGGTTTTATTTTGTGGATTGATGTCAGAACTCTCTTACCATTTTATTAAAATAATTGTTGAAAAAAACACGTGTCAAAAATCCGCCGGGGAGGGGGGTGGGGGTGGGGGAAGTGTCCCCCTGCCCCCTGGATAGCGACAGCTCTCAATGGTTTTGTACACGATTTGAGATCATGGACGTTCGGTCAATCGTGGACGTATTGTTTGCGCCCACATTCTTTTGTCCTACGTCCACGATTGCCGGTGTTTACACACGCACCCACACACACACTTACATAGGCATAGAAGTGGGGTACTTCCTTTGTTCTAGTGTACTAAAATTTTGCAACGTCGCACACTTGTGTCAAAATGCTCTTATTTAACCATAGTTAATTTCCTGGGCTGAAATGCGGACTTAAAGGGAATATACATCATTTGCTTTTGCTGTAATTTTCAGAAATGGATGGAATTGGGGGGTTTGAAATATAAAGCAAATATAGTTACACTAACTTTTTGGAGGTTTTGGGTTCGAAAATGCTATAAAAACCAAGAAAAACGATCATTTTCCTGTAGTCTGGTTCCCTGACTCCATATAAGAAGAAACAGAGCAGTTTACATACATTTGGGAATTGTAAGGTCAGGGAACCAGTCTAGCTGGCTCGTACCCGTTCAAAGGTTTGTAATCGATTGCAAACAAGTGCAATGGTCAATTGGGGCCAGTATTTGAAAAAAAAAGCCAGTTGTTTCCAACGCTGATCGGCCGATCAGCGTTGGAAATTGATACAAAAATACCACTTTTCTTGAAAATGACAGTATACCAGGTGCCATAATTTTACAGGATGCTTTAGACTGTCATTTACCAACATCCTATTAAGGTATTTCGCAAAAACTTGGTAGTTTTATTTTTCGATGTTTGCAAATGTTGTATATTCCCTTTAATATCCCTTTTCTAAAACTCTACCATTTGCGACAGATCAACCCACCTTCGAAATTCCTAGTTTTTGAGTAAAATCCATATATCTATTTCTTGAAAAACTTGGGAAGTCGGTGGGCATTCCTTGTGGGGTACCTCCCATAGTTCCGGTACCCCACAAGGCAGTGTTTGTACACGCACGCACCCACACGTACGGCAGCACAGCCACGTCTAGCTACGCCCGTACAGACAAACGTATATGTGCTATACTTCTTGGGGGCTATGGTGCCATATACATGTATGCCCTAAATACGCTAGCTGTTAAAAGTAGTGAAAACAAAACGTATACATTGTAATGGCAATGACAACGTAATATATCACCAAAGCAACCATTTTGTTGTCATATTCAGTTTCATATTCAAATATAGTGCCCCCGTGAAAACCCCAGTGAAGAAAATATCTGTTACCATTTAATGGGCCATAACCCTTGACTTGGCTTGTCACTAATGTTTCAGTGAGCATGCGCGATATAACCAAAATGGTCTTGAGTAGTGGGGTCCAATGACCGATGTATTTGCAATTATGTTGGCATAGTACTATAGAAGATACATTGATGTTAAGTGTATACACAAAGTTTTAACTGAATCAAACGAATTGTTTTGTGATAATGATGGTCAGTAATATTCCACGCATACATCCGAGCAAGAGCGCACTTTCATATACGCACCGTCAATACAAAAACAACAAAAAAAGAAGATTTGTCAGTGCAGTACGCCGGGTCGAAAATTCGACATTTTGCGTGAACGATAAGAACAATTTATTCTTATGTTTAACCATATACATGAATATTACACAATTGATCTTTGAAATAAACTGTTGCCACTTTTCTGAATGATCACCTATATATGTCAAGGATGTGATACTTTAGGTGGCTTTAAAAGGGAAGTCACACATATATATTGACGCCAATATTGCCGCCAATATTCACGACATGGACCGTAGTCGCAAATATTGGCGTCAATATTAGCGTCAATATTTGCGACATGGAGGCCATGTCGTGAATATTGTCGTCAATATTTGCGACTTGGAGACCATGTCGTGAATATTGGCGTCAATATTGACGTCAACATTTGCGACTTGGAGACCATGTCGTGAATACTGGCGTCAATATTTGCGACATGGAGTCCATGTCGTGAATATTGGCGTCAATATTGGCGTCACTATATATGTGCGATGTCCCTTTAAAGCCACCATAGATACTAGCTCTATAGCCTATGATAGTCTGTAGAAACGCATTTATTTGGACTTAAGTCATGCCTGATGCTCATGAAATGGTATAGAAAACCTCGATTGTATACTCAAGAAGCAAATTATAACACAACGGGTGTGTCTATCGATGATCAATGTTCTTATTCATTGCTGAACTAATGCATTGCGTTGGCAATCAGCTTCAATTGGAGCTCCAAGAACCCTTGACAGTTTCCATTTAGGACTCGTGTATAGTTTGGATGAAGTGCACCTATGGCCTGACTGGGGGGGGGGGGGAGGGGTGGCGCCAAGTTCACGATGGATCGAATAAGTTTCATAATACTGGTAAAACTAATAACGTGTCCATTTCTGGGCTATCACAACTGACTTGCATGTCATGTTATCCTTCATGATGAAATATGGAATGTAATTGTACACTGATGAAAGAGACAATGAATGATATATTGCCCTGGTGTGAGGTAAAATAGGGATGAAATTCCTCAAGACAGATGGTATATATTTTCTTTTATTGGCATAAGGCCAAAAAAAAAGTCTCCGGTTTCCATAGCCATGCCGTAGCCATGCGCGTCTGCAAAATCAACTATTTTTTTTTTCAATGTAAGATGGTGTCTCAAAACCGCCAAACTCACTGGTTTGACTGGAATCTTGCTGCTGCACAATTCTAACGTGTTTTTAGATGGGGTTACGATCGAGTATAAGCTTTATGGGCCTCTCTGGGCTCCCATATATTTTGAACTAAATTTAGTCGGGCACCATTAAGGAGACGGGTGTTTTAATTTTGTAATTGTGCATCTGGAAGCCAGACTGAGGGGCGGTGGTCGTGTATCTGGAACCTGAAACGCTTTTTAATAAGCGCAATATTATGTAAGGGTGCAGACTAATGACCAGCCAGGCAGCACACGGTGTTTTGCACGATGTCAATGTCGCTCTATGGGCATACGTAAATACCATTTTCTCTGATTTTTCTCTTGACTATCCAAATTTACTGAAGAACGTTCGTGCGCGGTTGAGATCGTAAGTGGATGCAGAATTATCAAGCCTTATGGCCTTGTGAGGTCACCTCAAGCTCCACCGTGAAGGACATTTTTTGAGAGTTTTAAGGGGATCGAAGCGCCATCTGCAACATCAGCTGACATTTGAAGAAAAAAAAGTAAGAGAAAAAAATACAGCCGCGTCGCCGCACCACTTTTGGGGCAAGCTCCATACCAGAAACCGGAGACTTTTTTGGGCCTAACAGTAACTTCTCACCAAAGTTGTCCAGTGGGTACACATGCAGAAGTTTGTCCACGGGAAACCAAGCAGACTTTTCGTGGCACGGGGGTGGGGGTCTATACCCTAAAAGGGCCGGGTTATTTTGACCATCTCTCAGCCGGGGAGGGGGCGGATTCCGCTCCCCCTAAGATCTCGGCCATCGAGTGACGAACATTTTTTAAACTCGGTACATGCATAGAGCAACTCATCATGAACATACCCAAGACATTTCGTGACTATAGGTCAAAGGGTTTTGGAATTATGGCTAATTAATTATTCATATTTACGAATGGTAATTCTGCTCTGTGTACACAACGTATATGGGGAAATTCAGTTTTCACGGCACGTAGCGCCGGACATTTTTTTTTCAAAGCTATTGCGGAAAAAGTTTGGGGAGGGGGCGGATTCTGCCCCGTCCCTTTTAGGGTTAACATCATCTGACTATTAGGAGCGATGATGATCTTGGACACTATCGAACAATAGGTGACGCTCTTCGTTAGGGCATACACAGTTAGTACTGAGGATCCACCCCAGCAAATAGGAAAAATCCGTCCGCCGAGCTAGCTCATCAATAATGTTATACACTCGAATTATTCTATACTAAAGAGTTCTTATAGAGCCAGCGAATTGATGAATTTAAGAGATATAGTAATGCACCACTGGCCCGGAATTTTTGCTTCACAATTCCGAGCATTCTGGATGCAATTGGGCCCGACAGTGGCGCTATTTAGCCAGGTCGTGGAGTGATCCTTTTTCAAGATGGCTAGACTGTTCCACTTTGGATCACATCACTCGTTTAAGGGGTTGTCTTTTTTGGGAGGTGAGAATTTCTGGAAAATTCATCGGTCAACCCACCAAAAATTGAAATGAAAATGAAAGATGATATTTTGATCATCATTTCTCTGTGCAGCCTAAACACTTGTGAGAGTATAAACATTTTGAAGTATGGGCATTTGGCATTGGTGTCTTTAGGGAGTTGTATACTGGGGTGAACCCCTGAATCGTTCGCTTGGAGGATTTCTCAAATGGAAAATAACTCCCTCTTTTCGGTCCTCCCCGACTCGCTCCTACTCCGTATC